ACCGCATCAGCAAGATGGTGCATCTCGCTGCTGTCGCAGCGGAGGTGACCTCCGTACAGACGGCACGTCTGTTCGTCGAAATGGTGTTCAAGCACCATGGCATGTCCACCGATATTGTGTCGGACCGCGATCCGCGCTTCACGGCGCATTTCTGGCAAGAAGTGTTCACACTTCTTGGAACACGGTTCTCTATGTTGACTGCGGATCATCCGCAGACGGACGGGCAAACCGAGCACGTGAACCGCGTGCTCGTGGGCTTGCTGAAAAGCTACACCCAGTCGTTCCACAACTGGAGCGACTACATGCCGATGGCTGAGTTTGCCATCAACAACGCGGTGCATGCCTCGACTGGGCATACACCGTTCTTCGTGAACGCCATGCGGCATCCACGCCTTCCGAGCACGCTCGGGGCGGTGGTGGCTTCCTCCTTAAGTGGGGGGTCTACGGTTGCGTCCGAACAACCGCAGAAGACAGCTGAAACGGATATATCAGCTGCGACAACACGTGCGAGAGCGAGAGCCCGCACACGTCAAGGCGACGTGTCAGTGCCGGGCACTGACACTGTAAAGCTGCTCCGACCAAGGACAACGTGTCTGTGCGGGGCACAGACACCGAGAGGACTCACGCACAGGCCGGGCCTGTTGCACACACAAGTAATGTATGGATGTCGATGACGGGCATCGATCCTGAGAAGATTCACCGCACTGGCTGGGCCTGTTGCGAACACACACGAAGTGTCAGTGCCGGGCGCTGACACCCAAAAGAGCCACGCACAGTCTGGGACTGATGCGACTACAAATGGCGAGTCTGTGCAGACCACAGACGCGGACAAGACCAACGAGCCGGACCCGGGGTTCAGCTCTCAAGCAATGGACTTTGTCCAGGAACGACAAGCAGTCGTTCGATTTGTACAAGATGCAATTGCAGCTTCTGCGGATAGGCAGAAACTGAACGCAGACAATGTTGGCAGGGGTAATACAACTGAATTCAAAATTGGTCCATTGGTTTTGTTAGCTACGCAAAACTTGCCTACTCATGCAGTTTCTGGATTCGGAGCAAGCAAGCTTGCCCCGCGCTTCATCGGACCGTTCATGGTGACAAAACGTCACGGCAATGCATACAGGTTGGAACTTCCTTCCGACATGAGACTCCACCCAACGTTCTACGTTG